TCAGATGAGCCTCTAGCAACTTCCTTGCTTTCACCTTTGACTCAACCTCGAGTGGGGGACAACGCTGTGAATCTCTCATCGAGGATGCCACAGTCCGAAACATCTGCCTCGATTCATTCTCAGGCAGGATCAACATTATTCTCACAACCCTCCCAGATCCTTTCAAAAGGCTCACTAAGGGTCGGGATGGGTTTCAAATATACTTCACGCGTATCCGGTGCCGGTCTACCTGCACATTGACACGACAAACATGTTCTACAATATTTCTTAGCATCTCCCCAGGTATAGGGCCAATAATAGTGTTCTCGCATCTTCAACCGAGTCTTCTGACTCCCAAGTGTTCTGCCATATCTCCAGAATGGGCTAGTTCCATCACTACTTCCCTAAAATATCTAGTTACCAACACTTCGTGATTCTCCATCCATACTTTATCCGCGTCGGTTCCATCCGGTCGCCATTTCCTCATTAGTATGTCGTCCTCCATATAGTAATATATCAGGGACTCTGGACAAGAGTTCTCCATTTTGTCTTTCAGATCTGGTCCTCTAATTCATCGTTTTGGGCTTTAATCAGGTCCACTCGATTTATACTCCATCTTTCCGGCAGAGTCATTCTCTCCTCTGACCTCGCCACTATCTCGTCCTCTCGAGCTGGACCCTCACCAAACAGCCCTCTTATCTCCACGTCAGTTTCCTCCCGCGTCTATGGTAAAAAGTAATACACACACAATAAAAAACACACACAGGCAGGTACACAATGACTTGGCCCAGGGTACACAAGGACACTCTGATTCATCCTCTAAGATACTAGCCAGATCTACTTTTTTCAGGTGTTCCGTCGGTACCGTGGCCCTTATGACATATCTCCGGTACAGCTTTCACTATTAGCTCCGGCAGCACCTTTGCCCCGCACAAGTCGTTTCCTCTAATCACTTGTATCTCTGGAACAGGTATGTCAGGACACACTCCCAACATCACCTCCGCCGACAAATACTCAGACCTCAGTCTGACAGCACACATGGGCATGTCACTCTGACAATAACCATGCACCCTTATTCTGCGACTGTCAGCTTAAAGTCTCTCGTCCCAGATCAGGCTCCTTAGAATCAAGCTCTGATTCGCCCCTGTATCTCTAAGGATTTCTACTTCTATTTCAGATTGGTCTCCCATGTTGACCCAACCTTGACAGACGGTATCTCTCGTTCATTAATCTCTCCTGTGGTTTGTTTCTCGTCAAACTCACACATGAGTTTCGGGGGTCATACAGTGCAAGTGTCACCACTTTCTTGCCCTGTCTGCAATCTCTCATTACATGACCATACCTAATATAGCATCTTACCTGGGAGATATTCCTTCTCGATCCTGTGATGTTTTGTCCACCAGAGGGGCTTCTTTGATTCTGTCCATTTGTCGTGCTGTTGCTTCTCTGTACAGACACACCACCTACACTAAGCAGTGTCTGGCTGGTTTCCCAACGTCTCTGTACAGACTTTGTCTCTTGCTTGTCTCCTGTAGCTGGACTCTGAAACTTCCTTTCATAGGGTTTCAGGCTCACTTGCTAATTCACCTGTCAACAAAAAATGTTATCACCCCGAGGATTCACTGGGTCTGCTATAGTTCCGTCGTACATCACTCTTCATCCTACTTTCTCTTAGGTTTCAATAGACTTTTGTGATCATACCCGCTCTATCTGTTGCATCCTTGACATTCCTCACTCCTGCCTCTTGAATTTTGAATTTTGTTTCGGGATGCATCATTTCTAAAAACTTCTCCATTGCCATTAACTGGTTTAAATCATTGTACGACGCCACTCCGTCATACAATGATTCAATCCAATCTTTGGAAACGTCGTTCCAGGTCCATAGCTGTCTCTGCAAAAGTGCTGGCTGGAGCTTTCATCATATCTCGAAACCGCTTTCTACCGGCTTCCAGGGTTAGCAAAAACGATCGCAACACACTATTTTTTACTATCCAGTAGTCCTGACATTCTTCTAGATTCAACTGGGTGTATGCCTCTCTGGCAGCACCAGCACTTAACTGGATTAACTGTGTCCATTCTTCTTGGGGTCCACTGTTTGATACCGGCTTTTAAAAGTGCTCCAAGAAACTTTCAGACTCTTTCGGCACAGTCAACCTTCTCCTTTACTCTATTATCTGGTGGGTGTGATACGTGTGTTGAGTTCTCTAACAACCCACGTTCAATCCTCTGTTCCACTGTAGCCCTATTCGCTTCTATCTCCGTTTGTCTCATTTTCTCTCTTTCCTGTTCCACTTTGTTTTTGTTTTCTCTTGTTCTAACTCCAGTTCTCGTACTCTGGTTTTCTCCTTCTCTATCTCTAGTTTAGTTTTCTCTTTTCCTTTTCCTACCTCTAATTTAGCTTTCTCATTTTCTTTCTATTCACTTTTTATCTGCAGTTTTAGCTTCAACTTCACTAGTTGGAACTGTCTCTCCTCATGCTCTCGTTACATCTGAAACTCTAGCTGGAACCTTTCCAAGCTTCTGTTCCGGCTGCTTCTACTACTCCTGTTTAACCCTTGTGACCTCTCTTCATCTTGCCCATCATCTTCCCTTCCACCTGGAACGGTCCTTGTGTATGGGCCCCTGGGCCCTGGACTGTATTGGTCTCGAACCGTGGCCCCCCTCGCGTGTGAGGCCGAAGCACTATCAACTCGGCTATGAGTAGTCTTAGAGGAAAGTTTTGGGGGGCTGTGAGGAATGGAATTTTGGTTTTAATGGAATGTAAAGTTTGATTCGCATACAAAAGGCTAAAACGTTTGATGGTTTTTCTGGCTGTCGCCAGCAACACCACAGCCGCAGTCAGCAACACCACAGCCGCAGCCAGCAACACAGCCGCAGCCAGCAACACCACAGCCGCAGCCAGCAACACCACAGCCGCAGCCAGCAACACAGCCGCAGTCAGCAACACCACAGCCGCAGTCAGCAACACCACAGCCGCAGCCAGCAACACAGCCGCAGCCAGCAACACCACAACCGCAGCCAGCAACACAGCCGCAGCCAGCAACACCACAGCTGTAGCCAGCAACACCACAGCTGTAGCCACACCAGTAGTGGTCCCACAGCCACACCAAGAGTGGTCCCACAACCGCAAGTAAATACGCCCGCGCCGTGGCCGGTGACGTCGATGTAAGGGAGGTCCCCTTACAGTACACATGAAGGCTGGTAGGTACATACAGATATAAATCCCACAGATCTACATTTATACAGTAATGAGGTCCATCTGGACCCCAACATAATCTTACTCTTCACACTCCACCGACGCTACGCAACTCTTCCCGACGCCTATCGACTAGCATCAAGTGGGACTTGGCTGCACGTGACTAGTTGAAGTGGGATATTGAATACTAGGTGGACGAGGGCTGGGGTGAGGGAGACTCCAGGGTAGGTAGTGGGGGTGAGACAGACCTCATGAGGGGTGGAATGACCGGTGAGGGAGGGGTTGGGATGGGGGGGGGGAAGGGTGAAAAAGACCTCAGTTGGGGGGTGGGGGCTCCCTTGACATTCCCTCCTCCCCCCCCCCCCTGCCACTCAATATGTCATGAGACTTGTATGTTAGAACGTTGCGCATCTCGCTGCTTCTTTCTTTATTATTATGTCTATTTTATATTTCGTGTTGTTTTTTTCTTAATTTTGTAACTTCATGTTCTGCTTAAGATCGTCAGAAGTTAATTAATGGAGTAATAAATGATATTTCTTGCGCATGCGTTAACTTGTTGCTGACGCATGCGTTAACTTGTTGCTGACGCATGCGTTAACTTGTTGCTGACGCATGCGTTAACTTGTTGCTGACGCATGCGTTAACTTGTTGCTGACGCATGCGTTAACTTGTTGCTGACGCATGCGTTAACTTGTTGCTGACGCATGCGTTAACTTGTTGCTGACGCATGCGTTAACTTGTTGCTGACGCATGCGTTAACTTGTTGCTGACGCATGCGTTAACTTGTTGCTGACGCATGCGTTAACTTGTTGCTGACGCATGCGTTAATATATTACTGACGCATGCGTTAACATATTACTGACGCATGCGTTAACGTGTTGTTGACGCATGTGTTAACAAATTACTAATTGCACATGTAGTTTTAGTCACTGTTTTACTTGCACTGTGAATCTTAAATTGCGAGCCATTAAGTTGCGTACGCATTAATTAAGCACAGTGTTGCGTAGCCAGCCTCTAAATGTTGCGTCATGTCTTCTATACAAACCTGTCTCTGAGCTTGCAAATGGTTTAGGACGGCAGTCTTGCAATACCTGGCTTGCCTCTCTAGGGCTTCTATTTGCAACATTTTGCAATATATATATGTTTATATATATATATATATATATATATATATATATATATATATATATATATATATATATATATGTATATGTATATATATATATATATATATATATATATATATATATATATATATATATATATATATATATATATATATATATATATATATGACAATGTCAGACCACGGAGGAAAAAGAAACAGGAATTTCCTTAAGTACTTTCGTATATTAAATACATCTTCAGAAGGAATGAAGATGAGTGAAGATGTTTTCAGATGAGTCATTGTCACATTCTTAATCACGTGTTTATTTTCGTGATATATATATATATATATATATATATATATATATATATATATATATATATATATATATATATATATATATATATAGTTCCACCTTTCTTCTTCATCTGTCTGGTCGTCCATTTGCTTCGATTATTTGATACCGATATTAAGTTTAAATAATTCCAAAAATCATGAATTAAGAATGTAGATAAGAACAAGATTCGTACACAAATGCGTATAGTAGGTGCGCATATGGTGACGCACGCACGCACAAACACACACACATACTACACACTACACACACACTACACACACACACACATACGCACACACACACACACACGCACACACAGCAGGTAGTCACAGTGCCGGGGCTATATATTAAGGCGGCCAATAGGTTGACTGTCACTCCCTCACGGGTCTTCCCATGGTCGAAACCATCTGCATCCCGGTAGGTGTAGCGGTGGTGTCAGTGTGGTGTGTGGTGGTGGTGCCAGTGTGGTGGTGGTGCCAGTGTGGTGTGTGGTGGTGGTGGCAGTGTGGTGTGTGGTGGTGGTGGCAGTGTGGTGTGTGGTGGTGGTGGCAGTGTGGTGTGTGGTGGTGGTGGCAGTGTGGTGTGTGGTGGTGGTGTCAGTGTGGTGTGTGGTGGTGGTGTCAGTGTGGTGTGTGGTGGTGGTGTCAGTGTGGTGTGTGGTGGTGGTGGCAGTGTGGTGTGTGGTGGTGGTGCCAGTGTGGTGTGTGGTGGCAGTGTGGTGTGTGGTGGTGGTGGCAGTGTGGTGGTGGTGTCAGTGTGGTGTGTGGTGGTGGTGGCAGTGTGGTGTGTGGTGGTGGTGGCAGTGTGGTGTGTGGTGGTGGTGGCAGTGTGGTGGTGGTGTCAGTGTGGTGTGTGGTGGTGGTGGCAGTGTGGTGTTTCGTGGTGGTGGCAGTGTGGTGGTGGTGACAGTGTGGTGTTTAGTGGTGGTGGCAGTGTGGTGTTTAGTGGTGGTGGCAGTGTGGTGTGTAGTGGTGATGCCAGTGTGGTGTGTAGTGGTGGTGTCAGTGTGGTGTGTAGTGGTGGTGGCAGTGTGGTGTGTGGTGTTGCCAGTGTGGTGGTGGTGCCAGTGTGGTGTGTGGTGGTGATGTCAGTGTGGTGTGTGGTGGTGTTGCCAGTGTGGTGTGTAGTGGTGGTGCCAGTGTGGTGTGTGGTGGTGTTGCCAGTGTGGTGTGTGGTGGTGGTGGCAGTGTGGTGGTGGTGCCAGTGTGGTGTGTAGTGGTGGTGGCAGTGTGGTGTGTAGTGCTAGTGTGGTGTGTAGTGGTGGTGGCAGTGTGGTGTGTAGTGGTGGTACAGAGGGCACAAATAGCGACAATCAGACCCTAGTACATATATGCTCCTTACATTTACTAATAATAATAGCTACTAACACCACACTTTATACACTATCACCACTTTCTTTGACAATATAACATTCCCCTTTAGAACAAAACCACAAGGGCCGTGACGAGGATCTGTGGATTTGTTCATTTGATGCATCACGTTAGTGTGATCTCTGTGTTACCCGTTAGAGTTAAGTCATTGTATTAATACCAAACATTACGTTCAACGTTGGATATAGTAATGTAATGAAACTGTTGTCGTTTATAATTTTAGTCTGGATTTACCTCTAAATCTTCCTCTTGAAATCTACCTCTAAATCTACTTCTAAAAGGTTCTATTTTTAAACAGTATAATGTGTAATGTTTTAGTGTGTGTGTGTCCCTGTTTTTTGTTCACACATTTGACCTTTCATACAATCTAGCGCCTCGTGCAGCCTGGTAGTTCAGCCTGAACTACTCAGAATTGAATCGGTTTATTTACCTATTTTATTGTGATGAACAATGGGTCTGCTAGTTCCTATTTGTTCTCTTCTGCTTTCTTCAAATTCATTTGAAAGTTCTAATTTATTAACACTTTTTTTAATATTATGTTTAATATTGTCTTTATTTTTATTTGTTGCAAGCTTTGAAGGGCATCAACTTTATTATTATTATTTTGCAACCCAGAGTGTGAAAGATCTTTAAGATGGCCCGAAGTTTTTGCCTGAATTAGGGATAGAGGATTTTCTTTAACCAAAAATTGAACTCTGTTGGTGTGGTAATATTACCTGGACTTGGCCAGCGTGACACTGGATGATGTTCAGACCACACTTGGTCAGCCAGGTTAAGCACCATTGTATCTGGCTAGTAACTGGATGGGTGACAGCCTCGTCCCTGGCTAGTGGGACCTGGATGGGTGACAGCCTCGTCCCTGGCTAGTGGGACCTGGATGGCTGACAGCCTCGTCCCTGGCTAGTGGGACCTGGATGGCTGACAACCTCGTCCCTGGCTAGTGGGACCTGGATGGGTGACAGCCTCGTCCCTGGCTAGTGGGACCTGGATGGCTGACAGCCTCGTCCCTGGCAAATGGGACATCGAAAAGCCACATTGACTTCATTTCCTGTCCCTGGTAATAACACACTGATATCACGCTTCAGAAGTGCTGCTCCCCAGTACAACAGTTCCCAACAAATCCTCCTAATAACACGTCGTATTTTGACGTATACTTTACCTAAGGCCACAAAATATCGTACTAGACGTAGCTGCTCGCGAAATTGAAATAATATCCCGTTTTGTGTTCGTGGATCCTCTGGTAGGTTAAGATAAGGCACGTTAGTACGACAGTTTCTTGACGTTGGGGACGCTGGCGAGAACGGGCTATAGTGCAAGCGTGCTTATGGTGACAACCGTAAACTGCCTGCCGTCAACCGCGCTGGTTGACGGCAGGCAACGCGGGGTTGCGTCAGCCTGTATTCCTCTAATGTTACACTAATCAGGTTATTGGTGACAAGGCAGCCTTTAGTAGGCTTCCTCCGGATTAGTTGCTCTCAAGGGGAAGGGGGTGACAGGGAACAAGAAATGATGAAGAGAAAGCGCCAAGCCATTACGACTATATAGCACTTGGAAAGGGTCAGGATAACACGGGAGACATCTCCCGTCACGCAGGGTGCAGTCGCACCTCCACAAATCTCCAGTATCATCTATTGATACTGGTAATGGCTCAGAAGGGCCACCACATACGGGCTATTCATGCCCGTGCCACCTTTTGGGTGGCTTAATCTTCATTAATCGGTCAGGATAAGAATTTGGGATGGGACGGGGGAAAGGAATGGTGCCCAAGGAGGCGCGGAAGGCCAAGGCGTGGATTTAAGTGCTCTACTGTAGAGACTTTCAGTGTGAGTCTTGGTGAGAAGCAGCTCTTGCTGTAGAGTGGCTCTGCTCCCACAGGAGGTTACCTTGAAGTGCCTACCTTTGAGGCCTGCTTCCGGGGCTTAGCGTCCCCGTGGCCCGGTCGTCGACCAGGCCTCCTGGAGGGAGGAGGGAGGCGCTATACTCGCTCGTCCGTAAACGTATACTTTTCTAAAGACATATTTTAGTCTCACTTTAAAACTATCTTATATAAAAGCAGCTTATTCTTTTTATTTAAATAGTCGTAATTTAATGCCTTAGGAGCACACACCATGAATATGGAACAAAATTGCATTTCTTGAAATTAATCATTTTTTCACGCAATCTGCTTTGTAATTCAGATGCTAATTGTGTAATACATTAATTATCTTGATAATCATACATGGTAGCAACCACATTCCTGCTGACATCTGACACCCTAGACAGACACACTTCCTACCGACACTTTGCACTCCCATCCTGCTGATAGCCAAGATAAGCAGGTAACATAAGCACGCTCAGATAACACTGTGTGTGTCCATCACAATGTTCAAGGCACTTCAACTTCATACTAATAAATAATAAGGAACGTTAGTTGAACAAAGGCTGAAATCTTGTAGAGGAAATCAGGGAAGTTCCCATATGATGTGGATGATCAGCGGGCCGCTTCCAACAACAGCTTCGTGATTCAGGCTATCGCAAGGGAAGCCTGCCCTAGGGTCGAACAATAAGAGAAAAACGCTAGAAATCGGCGACAAGTAAATCAGAGGTACAAATCAGTAGCCGACCAAATACCCCCCTCCCCCCGTTCTCTGTTATTAATTTAATTTTCCAGTATAATCCATTACTATTGTATGGTAAGTTATACAGCTTTGTATAACCAAGCTGACTGCTTGGTTTTACAAAGAAGGAAATAATAACAAAGTTATTAAAAGTTGAGAACGTGGTTCTTCAAGGACCCGCCGTCACGTTCACTGTGTCGAACGTCTCCTTCGAGTGAATGACGCTATGTGTGCTTGGACGTGTACAATCAGCCCGTCCTCTCATTGCTGTCTATTGAGTGACGTGTGTAGAGGCGCTAAGGGGGTACTGCTCTACATGTGACGATGTGTGGTGCTTGTCGCAAGATATAATGTGGAAACAGCAGCGATGTGCGTGTGGAAGATCACATTGGAGATATGGCAGAAGTGCCGGATTGTTGTTATTTAAGATTCAGCTACTGGGAATAAAACGTTTCAAGTAGCACGGGCTATGGTGAGCCCGTAGTGGACTTACCTGGCACAGGAGCGGGGCTGTAACTGGTGTTCAAGTGCCGGGTTGTTGTTGATGTTGTTTCAGATTCAGCTGTTGACCAGACCACACACTAGAAGTTGAAGGGACGAAGACGTTTCGGTCCGTCCTGGACCATTCTCAAGTCGATTCAATCGACTTGAGAATGGTCCAGGACGGACCGAAACGTCGTCGTCCCTTCAACTTCTAGTGTGTGGTCTGGTCAACATACTTCAGCCACGTTATTGTGACTCATCGCCTGCATAAGATTCAGCTACTCAGAACGAAGTGTCCATGTAGCACGAGCTATGGTGAGCCCGTAGTCCGAAGTGCCGGGAGTGAGGAGAGCATATATGAAGGGGCGTGTCTGAGAGGTGAGGAGCCATTGAGCCAATACACGGGACCAGTGGTGGACATCCTTGAGAGGAGAGACGGGCTGCTGGCTGGGTCATCTCCACCTTCTCCTCTTACCACCACTTGTGTATAGCGATAAACGCATCAAGGTTACCTCTCTCTTAATCTCCCTGAAACCAGAGTTGATGTGTCTGAGCCAGTAGTCTTAGAATGATTAAACACGAGGTACCATGACGGCTGAGTGGACAGCGCTCGAGGTTCGTAGTCCTATATGGTTCCGGGTTCGATCCCCGGCGGAGGCGGAAACAAATGGGCAGAGTTTCTTTCATCCTGATGTCCCTCTTCACCTAGTAGTAAATAAAGTAAAGCAGTTTCTGGGAGTTAGACAGCTGCTACGGGCTTCTTCCTGAGAATGTTTAACAAAATGGAGGCCTGGTCGAGGACCGGGCCGCGGGGACGCTAAGCCCCGAAATCATTTCAAGATAACCTCAAGAACATAACCCTGTTTCTGTAAATGAGTCAGCCCGTCCTTCTAAGGTTTCCCGACGTCAAGAAACTGTCGTACTAACGTGCCCTTATCCTAACCTACCAGATGACCCAAAACAGAAAACGAACAGTGTGTCAATTTCGTGAGCCGCTACGATTTTCTAATACGACTATTTTTGGCCTTAGGAAGAGTATACGTCAAAACGCGACGATATATGTATGAATACGTTGTACTGAACGGGGGTGAGAATAGCTTGCGTTACCTCATCCCTTTGTGTGTATTTTACCTTAATAAACTTATTTCAATTTCAATTTCAAAATGCGACGTTCTTTTAGGAGGACGGGTTGAATGAGTAGGTGAGAATGGTAGTGTGGGAAGATGTATTGATATTCCTAGTAGAGATTGTTTGCTACAGAGGAATGTTAGAGTGATGACGTGTATTGATGTCTCCATCAAGGATTGGTTGTCATGTCAGGTTATCGTGAGATGATTTCGGGGCTTTAGTGTCCCCGCGGTCCGGTCCTCGACCAGGCCTCCACCCCCAGGAATCACCCCGTGACCGCTGACTAACTCCCAGGTACCTATTTACTGCTAGGTAACAGGGGTATCAGGATGAAAGAAGCTCTTCCCATCGTTTCTCGCCGACACCCGGGATCGAACCCGGGACCACAGGATCACGCGTCCAGTGTTCTGTCCGCTTAGCCACCGGCTGTCGATTGGTTAAAAAAAATGCCCTGCAGTGCAAGTTTACTGGGCAGCGTCGTTTATCCATTGAGAGAACATGCCGTCATACCAGCATTAACAACACTCCACTGAGAGGCGGGACCAAAGAGCCAGAGCTCAATCCCCGCAAAGACAACTAGGTGAGTACAATAGGAAGAGCTGGGTCGTTCATCCCTGTCACTCGAACCCTTCTGTGGTTCAGTGCTTAATAATTCACTGAACTGTATGTAGGATAACAGATCTCTAAGTCCTGTCCATGGGAGACAGAAGAAAATGTATATACTGTATGCTGATTAGCATTGTAAAGGGGGGTAGAAATAGCCTAAGCTACGCTATTCCTTTGAGATGTATTTATTGCTTATCTCAATAAACATACTTGAACTTGAACTTGAATTAGCATTGTAAATGAATAGCCACTTATGTAGTAGAAAAGAACTTACGAAAAAGAACTTGTACCCAGACGCCGCTGGCACTTAAGTCTCTGGTTTGGTGAATACTTTCCTGTGAGATTTATTGACCTCCTAAGCAAGGAGAGGCTCTCATCTAGGGCATTTATCTTAGTAATATATAATAATTCTCTCTCTTACTGTTATGTAGAGGAATAATGAAATGAGAGAAGCTTGGCCATGGAGAGGCAGTTCTCTCTCCGAGGAGAGGAAGCTTGACCAGGGAGAGGCAGTTCTCTCTCCGTGGAGAGGAAGCATGACCAGGGAGAGGCAGTTCTCTCTCCGTGGTGAGGAAGCTTGACCAGGGAGAGGCAGTTCTCTCTCCGTGGTGAGGAAGCTTGACCAGGGAGAGGCAGTTCTCTCTCCGTGGTGAGGAAGCTTGACCAGGGAGAGGCAGTTCTCTCTCCGTGGAGAGGAAGCTTGACCAGGGAGAGGCAGTTCTCTCTCCGTGGTGAGGAAGCTTGGCCATGGAGAGGCAGTTCTCTCTCCGTGGAGAGGAAGCTTGACCAGGGAGAGGCAGTTCTCTCTCCGTGGTGAGGAAGCTTGGCCATGGAGAGGCAGTTCTCTCTCCGTGGAGAGGAAGCTTGACCAGGGAGAGGCAGTTCTCTCTCCGTGGAGAGGAAGCTTGACCAGGGAGAGGCAGTTCTCTCTCCGTGGTGAGGAAGCTTGACCAGGGAGAGGCAGTTCTCTCTCCGAGGAGAGGAAGCTTGACCAGGGAGAGGCAGTTCTCTCTCCGTGGAGAGGAAGCTTGGCCAAGTTTAGTACAATTGGTAAAGTTCTCATGTAGCGACTGTCCTTTTTTTTCTCTTATAGTGACCCGCCTTAACTACCGTAACGACTCATCTCACACTCAAGTCTTGTAATCAAGAAGCCATCAACAGCGCTCTTAAAACCTCGTTACTCCGTATTAATTATTTTTTTATGATCATTACTCCGAACTGATATTAAAATGACTAGATACAAAAAAAATATGTAAATTGTTGAATAATGTCTGCAGGAAAGACAATATAGCGAAAGATAAGGAATATCTAAGGAAATACTAAATGTTTAATATATGTATTGCGAGTAATAACCGGAGAAAACCGTTCACTACACAACCCGTTCCCACGTGAAGTAGTTTTTACCAAACGAGAAATATAAGAACCTGAGCAACAAACATACTTCTATGATATTTTTGTTGTTGTTGATGTGGTTCAGATCCTCGTGAAGCAACACTGCCGAGAGTGTGAGGCAGGATTTGTTCTTCATATTTCCATTGGGTCCTCGCATATTTATAATTACTGTATCTGCTCTTACTTAGCTGCCAGATTATAATTCTTGAGAATATGTTGTATTTATAAGCCTCTGATAGATAAGTAATTTCAAATTGGTCGTGTTTTCAGACAAATTGCAGTTGATGTGCAACTGAGCCAACTTGAGCCTCTGTGGCTCCCTCTGTGGCTACCGAGTACTCTTGACGTCACTCTACAACCACTCTACAGTCATCCACCGAAAGGATCAAGAGGCGAGTCTAAGCGTTTCTTCACTAGTCATGGATACTGCCACTCTTAGCAGCTCTTCCCTGCATCTACTCAGCGATGACATACAAAATTTACCTGAGAGCAGGAATTCACACGGGAACTCTGCGAAGACTACTAAAGAAGACGCGAGAGCTGACCAAAAAGCAGGCGAGATCACCAATCTCTGTGTCAACAAGTCATGGCTGGCAAAAAGAGGCCGCAAAGAAATAACTTCCAACTCGGTGAATACAGAAACAGCCACCGCTGAAGATCATATAACCGAGGACCCGGGTAACTTGAGCAGGAGGGAGTGGACGGGTCTGTCAGAACCCTCAGGTTCAGTTCTCCCGCACCAGCAGCAACAGCAGCAGCAGCAGCAGCAGCAGCACCAGCAGCAGCAGCAGCACCAGCAGCAGCAGCACAACGCAGAGAGAGGAAACAGCCCTTTCTATGGGAAAGTGAGGAATATTACGAATAATGTGCTTAATGAATCATTCAATCACGAAGATATCTCACTTGTGAAGAATTCTTTTAACCTCTCTCCGAAGTCATCACCTGTCTGCTCATGTAAAAGAAATCCATCTTGCCGAAGTTCCATATCAAAAACTTTCAATGTTGATTTGCAAGAGAATAACGATCAAGATATTGAGTGTAAGAATAACGTTTTCCTAAGGGAATCTTGCAGATGCAAGGCTACGAGTAAGGTGCGTAGTAAGAGACGGGCAGATGGAAGTATCAACAATGTTTGGCCGTTTTCACAGATAGAACTTATGAAAAGACGCAGTGCCGAAATTTCTGAACTTAGGCATGCACTTGAAGAGAAGATAAACTGTCAAAATCCTCACTATAACACCCATGATAATGTGAACTGGGATCACAGGCTTAAATCTATGCATTTATCAAGTAAGAAGCAGCCTTCGTGTGCGCACAAGCACTTTTCCAGAGAAAATCCCATTGAAAACGAAAATAAAGTTCCTCCTAATCTACTACAGCATAACAACATTTGCATCTCGTGTCCTGGGGTCCTCCGGCAGCACGACAAACCTCCGGCACCTCCCAGGTCCATGGACCCCAGGAAACTCAAGTACCTCATGGACGATGCTATAGAAACCTCTCCACTGAAGGATGTAAAGCTCTCCGGACCATTTCTTTGCCACGGGTGTTCTAGTCCAATCAATTTGAGCCCACACCAGAACCCAGGGACAATTATTTCACGTGGAGGGATTGCAGATTCTTGCTGGATGTGCGAGCCCCCCGCGGGCACGTTAGGACCAAGAACACTTCAGGAGGCCGAGGGGACCCGACACAACCAGGACGCAGAAGGAGAAACCTCGACACGTGAGTCTCTGCTAATGTTATACAGAAAGGTCACACTTGAGGCGTCATTTATTTTCCTTAGCTTCAGTAGAGAAGAAGAATTTTAATGAGAAGAAGAATTTTAACTTTATAACTATGCAAAGTTTTGGGGTAAACTGACACCACGATAAATTCTAAAATTATCCTTAATAAATTTATTCTTTAGGACAATATTCACAGGGGACAGACTTTAATATGCTGCGGTTTGTAGTTATTAAATCTTGGAAATGTCTCAGTACACTTCTTGCCTTCACGAGACAGGACCGGTGAAGGGAGACGAGGACCGAGTCAACTACTACCCAAACTGTGACCCGACTATATGGATCCGTACATGCACCAGTCAGGTCCTCCAGCCTCTCTCCGGCATCCAGTCGGGTTAGTTATAAGAGACAGCAATACTTACGTTAGAAGTTTATCTATATATACTACGTGTTCAAGGTCTGTGATTCGCGTGATGATTAAAAATACTTCTATTTTGAAGCTGTACCAAGAGGCATGAGATAATAGAGAGTTGTAATGAGGTGGTGTCCCCGGCCAGGGGTGATCCCCGTGTGGTTGCGCGGTGCGCTGCTACGGAACGGTCCCGGACGCGTCCAGGTGGGCCAGCATCACTATAACCACGTCTTCGACGGCTCGGCTCTGCTACACAGGTGGGCTCAGCAGTTTTTGTATTTCTGTTCTTAATTCCTCTCACCCACGAGAGGCTTACTAGAGCCGCCACGAGAGCTTGCTGATCAACCAGCAGGTATAATAATCGTCGTCGTCCCTTCACCTTCTAGTGTGTGGTCTGGTCAACATACTTTAGCCACGTTATTGTGACTCATCGCCTGCAACCAGCATGTATACTTTTGTTTTGAACATAGTTCAAGATGAAAGTAAACTTAGTATACACCGAGAAGAGGGTTCACCTCTCGGTTTATACATACATGGTGTAATCAGTACATATGGTTATTACACAAATAATTCGATATGTGGGAAGGTTTACTCTAGCAGTAAAACGTAGACAAATTCTACATCATTTTTGCAAGCAAATCTCAAGTTGAAATGACACCAATATGGTCTCTAGGATAATCATTAAGTATTATTGTTATTAACTTTTAAAGAGTGTTCTGAAGTCCCAAGTGATGCTGGGACTTGTTTAAATTTGTTTTTGTTTTAGAACTTGAGATCGAGTAGAGAAGAAAAACATAACCTAACATAAAGCTGTCATTATCCTTTATTTATAAATCTTCTTCTCGTCACTGCAAGATCACATCACAATCTTAACATCACCTTGGAAGATGGTAACATTGAAGGAGAAGATAATCTCTTCAATATATGCATATTCTTCTATTATACTTATTATTTTTGAGTTTCGTGGCGAGAGCTTACAGGACGCTTCCCTCAGGTTCCATTTCCGGGACGGACGAGTGACTTACCAGAACAAATTCCTGGAGAGCCGGAGCTACCTGTCGGACACGAAGGCGCAGCGCATCGTTGTCAACTACTTCGGCACCAGGGCTCACCCTGACCCCTGCAAGACCATTATGCGCAAGTAAGTCGCTCTATCATTCCTACTAGGCATTAGGAACCTCACAATATTCGAGTTTCTTTAGTGGCGATAACATTAACAGTTGATATTGAAATACAGAGCATTTGAAACTCCAAATGAAAATATTCAAATGCTTGTAAGAGGGTAAGGGAAGCGGGAGTGTAACGTTCTGGACATTGTTACAGTATCGCCAGCAAGTTCACCTTAGAGGAGCATTTCACCGACAACGCCCAGATCAGCCTCTACCCGTACGGCGACGGTCTCTACGCCCTCACCGAGACGCCTTTCATCTTCCGTGTTGACCCTGAAACTCTTACCACGCACGAGAAGGTGAGTGTGGTTACTGCGCCGCGATGCACACCGCTGGAGACGGGGTCTGGACGCTTCTTAACATATTAGGAAATGATTGCATGACGACTGCCATTCTTAATCATATTCATCGTCTGCCCTCAGATGTCATCAACGACAAAGTCTTTCATTACAAAAAATTATATGTTTATTTCTATCGTGAATTTGTTGTGTTTGCGATTAAAGAAGATAGAGAAACAACGACGTTTCGGTCCGTCCTGGACCAAACCACACATCAGAAGATAGAGAGACAACGACGTTTCAGTCCGTCCTGGACCAAACCACATATAGCCAGGGACACTTGTATTATATTAATATTATATTAAGGATTCACTTCTATGGTGCAATCTTCACCTCGATGATCTTATATATAAAAAAAACTTTATCTTGTCTTATGTGCTCTCCTTTTAGGTAAACTTGACGAAACACATCGCTGTGTTTAACCACACCGCTCACCCCCACGTGGATAGGGATGGTACTGTGTACAACATTGGCCAGGGAGTGGGGCCTTTTGGGCCTAGGTATCATATCTGCAAGTTCCCCAAGAGCAAGATAGACTCCAAAGGTGAATTTCCAAGTTTCATTATGTCATGTACATGTTAAGTAATATACGGCACACTCTCGTATATTGAATCTTATTTGTATCTGACAGCACAGTTGAGATGTCCCTTAAAGATGACCTCAGGCATGCACATCCCTACTCAAAGAGCAAATATACCAAGAGTGAGATGCTTATACTTTAAAAAATATTATTACTTAATGGAATACTTATACTTTTCTCTCGTTATTCAGTTGAACATTGTACTTCACTAACAACACATATACACACACACTTGCTGCTGTACCTGGCAGGTAGGGTGAGGTCGCCTTTCCAGCAAGCCAAGGTGGTGGGCTCAGTGGCTGGCCGCTGGCGCCTCCATCCCTGCTACATGCACTCCTTCGCCATCACCGACAACTACTGGGTTATCATCGAGCAGCCTCTTGTCGTCTCCATTTCGAAGATCATCAAGGTCCTGATCAAGCAGGATGCACTCATCGACGCCCTCCAGTGGTGGGAAAAGGAGGTGAGATGAGGAGGAAGTGTATTTTCTTTAAATATACACATGAAGAATGCTAACATTCAGGCATCATTTTGGACAAAACTTTAAGTAAATTACGCTCAGTAGAAGCATTACTTCAGTAATTTTCTCTAGATTAAAAAGTAATACAATAGAAATAATCAAATATTTAACAAACTAATTGTTAATTGGCTAACATTTTCCCATCTGCTTATCATGGATAATGTAGTTCAGTAACATCAATGGCCTTCCTTCGGCCTCTTACACTAGACTTCCTTAATCTGAATCGATATCTTCTCCAAGATATCGATATCCAAGATTCTCCAAGATTCTCGATATTTCTCTTCTTCTTCGATATCTTATCTTCCTTCACGAAGATAAACTTGTAGACGTTTGTTAAAAAAAATCCATTAATTACGAACTTATAAACAGGAACTACAACGTTGTTGCATATTTCGACATCAGGTTCTCTCAGTCTTAGATATACTTATTCTCCGTGGAATGTATTTATACTTATAGTGTCTATATCATATGTCTCATCTTATAAGACTAGTCTACTAGCTTTGTATGCCGACCCAAGGACGTGTTAGGCCTTAGATACAGGTTTGGTAGCGCTGAAGATACAGTCACAGACTCTTACAGAATAAAGAGGAAGAATGCTGTTGAATGTTCTACTTCATAGGGTCCCGGCATTACACTTGGGTCGTTCTCGACGCACACTCGAGAGTTCCGGGTTCGAATCCCGGGCTGGACAGAAATGGTTGGGCATATTTCCTGTCATCTAATGCCCCTGCTCACCTAGCACATCTCACCCAATTGTGCTTGCGGGGGTTGAGCTCTGGCTCAGAGTAGGTAGTCAGGGGCAAGATTCACGAAAGCACTTACGAACGTGTACATCTTTCCTCAATCTTTGACGGCTTTGGTTACATTTATTAAACAGTTTACAAGCATGAAAACTTGCCAATCAACTGTTGTTATTGTTACAAACAGCCTCCTGGTGCTTCGGAGCTCCTTAACTGTTTAATAATTGGAAATAAAGCCGCCAAAGATTGAGAAAATATGTGCAGGTTCGTAAGTGCTTGCGTAAGTGCTTTCGTGAATCTGGGCCCAGGAGTTAGTCAGCTTGTTGTGGTGTTGCATCCTGGGCGGGGTCAGTAATTCGAACTTGGGAAGGGGAGGGACCTCGATAAAAGCCTAACGTGTATGAATACACTCTGGCTTCCTGTCCCTCGACACAATGAATGAAAACCATTATTATTCACCATAGAAAACCTTCGACCGTGTGCACCTGAGAACACGGGAAGACAGGGAGGACTAATCTAAACCTACCAATCGTAGCATTGCTATTAACTACGCAATATTTTTTGCCTGTTGACACTTTCACTACTTATTAAACGAGCTTCCATATTGTATTTTTTTGCTGGTTACGATAAAAAAAATGTTTAATATATATTAATATATTAAGGGTCCCGGTAGTACAGTCGGGTTCGTTCTCGACGCACAACAGAGAATTTCGGGTTCGAATCCCAGGCTGGACAGAAATGTTGGGCACATTTCCTTTCACCTAATGCTGGGGTATTAGATAATACTGAGTTCCAACAGACGAAGATCCACGTGGTACAGCGGGCCACCGGGACCGTGACCAGCACCCAGTACATCACCGACACCTTCTTCTTCCTCCACACCATCAACGCCTACGAGGACACAGGTCACATTGTCCTCGACATCGCTGCCTACAAGAACGCCAAGATGCTGCAGTGTATGTTCGTCGAGGCCCTCAAGGTGAGCTGACCGCCACCTTCACTTCAGTAATGAGAAACATGATGACCAGACCACACACTAGAAAGTGATGGGGACGACGACGTTTCGGTCCGTCCTGCACCATTCTGAAGTCGATTGAGAATGGTCCAGGACGGACCGAAACGTCGTCGTCCCTTAACTTTCTAGTGTGTGGTCTGGTCAACGTACTTCAGTCATGTTACTGTGACTTATCGCCTGCATGAGAAACATAATGTTATATGAGGGGGGAGGTTTATAACCCCGCACGCGTGTTATCCTTCAGTGTTACGCTGCAAAGTTATATATAACTGAATCATTTTCACTTTATATGGTACACACACGTGCACTTTGACACGTCTAGTAATTATTACCTTTTAGCAAATCCAAAATTATAAATCAATCTTTGAATGACCGGGACGTCGTCATTTGAACGTCCATCTGTCAGGGTTATTTATTAAAATATATTTGGATTCTATATTTTGTTGGTGTTTATAATGAAGTAGATATTTTCAGGAGTAAGAGTAGGAGGAGTAGATGGACTGGACGGTGAGATCATTCCACTTTAATTAATATAATTTGACGATTAAAACATAGAAATATGTCATGTTTTCTCAGCGAATAACCAATACGTGTGAACATAAGGGAGGGAAGGGCGATAACTCCAAAGACAGGCTTCCTTACTCTCCCCATGACTTACGTGATAATTAAATTACTTTGTAAACTCTAGCCTAAAGATTGTCAGGAATGGTGTGCATCATATTTGTTTTGTTTACGTAGCACACACACACACAACACACACACACACACACACACACACACACACACACACACACACACACACACACACACACACACACACACACACACACACACACACACACACACACACACACACACACACACACACACACACACACACACACACACACACACACACACACACACAGATATATATATATATATATATATATATATATATATATATATATATATATATATATATATATATATATATATATATATATGTATATTAGACTGTACAAGTACTGTATAACGAAGAGATCCACCGCCGTCAGAACGCCGCCTACGACCCAACATACGCCCAGATGTTCCGCGGGCGGCCCAAAAGATGGGTGCTGCCCCTACACCCTGACGAAAGTGCCGGTCCTGACACTAACCTCATCACCCTCCCTGGCACGACTTGCCACGGGCGCTGGGTTAAGAAGAACTTAGTCTATATCAAGCCAGAGCTCCTAGTCGACATTGGATGTGAGGTGAGGTGTCTTCTCTCTTCTGTATAACGAGTTGGATCGATAACATGAGTCTACGGGCTCACCATAGCCCGTGCTACTGGAACTTATCGTTCTGAGTAGCGAATCTTAAACAACAACAACAACATGAGTCGAGAGACATCTCCCGTCACGTAGGGTGCAGTCACACCTCCACAAATCTCCAGTATCATCTATTGATACTGGTAATGGCTCAAAAGGGCCACCACTTACGGGGCTATTCATGCCCGTGCCACCTTTTGGGTGGTTTAATCTTCATCAATCAATCTGATAACATGAATGTATTCCAAGTGTTTTCATGACCAGCCTGAGGGTGTTAGGAAGAACGTGATTGTCTCGGTCTCTAGGAGGCTATTTGTTTATTGTTTTAGATTCAGCTACTCGGAATAAAAGTTCCAGGTAGCACGGGCTATGGTAAGCCCGTAGAGGACTTGGGAAGCTGTTAAAATTTTCATTTTAACATTGAAATAATCTTGTCTACATTTAGTATTCAGGATAATTATTCGGAAACTTTGCATCCATTGTAATGATTACCAACTTACTTTTCGTACTGTGAATATTTTAGCTTTAAAATTTACCAGTCACTAAAATTTTCTAATGTTCTGACGAGGCTTGTTTAAATGTGCCTAAGAGTCAGAGCTCTGTTATAATTGCTACCTTTGTCTTCTAGGTCCCAAGAATTCACTACGATAAATACAACGGGCGTCATTATCAGTACTTCTACGCCATCTGTAGTGACGTAGATCACCCCTGCCCCGGCACGGTAGGTCACGCAGGTCACGGAGGTCACAGCAGGGAACAATACTTGCTACATCAATCCTAACAGTTATTTGTCTCCAGGACGTGAAAAGCATAAAGTGTTGATTTAATATAGCAAGCCATAACAGGCGAAATGTCATATATTATGAAGTCTACTCTCATTTTAGTGTTTCTATTTATTTAAATATGTCTGGCGACAGCTGGTGAAGGCAGACGTGGTGAATAAGACTCACTTAGAGTGGAGCGAGGACAACGTCTACCCCTCTGAGCCCATCTTCGTCCCCTCGCCAGAAGCACAGGTAATCTCCATTGGAATGGGAATGAGGGGAAGATAGTTAACGGGACCGGGAATAGGTAGTTTTTACATGTATAATAATGAATATGCTCAAGAATTTTATTTAGGGTCTTATTAGCGTTATGTAATAGGGCAATAAACCTGCTAAAATTAATTAAGGCGAAGACAGCTTCTTACCTCATTATGCTAAAGCTTACAAAAAGAGAGTCGATAGCCTATCAAGGACCTAATTGGTCCCCCTCGGGTTGTGTCTGCCTCCGTCAGCGTGAGGACGATGGTGTGGTGCTGTCCGCGCTACTACGGGCCAGGGGTCTGGACCAGCAGGTGTGTGTGTTGGTGCTCGACGCCTCCACCTTCACAGAGTTGGGTCGAGTAGAGTTCACAGCCCCGGGGCCGGTGCCCAAGTGTCTCCACGGCTGGTGGGTCCAAGAGGGCGCCTTCACCCTCAGTTCTCACCATAACATCAAGCCCAAGAAGGTAACTAAGACGCCCATATACAAAGGTGCAGGTTAGGCTTTGCTTGAGCACACAGAAAATGAATACTGTAATAAATGAGTAACTTTTGTTCAGATTATTTATAATGTTTATGGAGTTCCACAGATAAGAGGAGCCAAGAATGGTGCATTGTATCATTACTTTTAAATATTAATGATAAATTAGACAAACAAGAAACATTGACTAGGCTTTTAATTCTTACCTTCAAAAGGTTATATGTATAATATAATATAATATCCGGGAAATGCCTGCTACGTACTCAGTTCCTGTCCGGAAGTGGAGGAGCTCCAAGAAATCCATATCCTTTAAACACTCATTGTATTAACCAATATATATATCTTGTAACCTTTAAATATCTAATACAGCACAATAAAACACAGAGGGAAAGGGGTGGTAGGAATAAAGAACATAGAAACTGCATTGGAGAGGACCTATAGATCCTCTCTAATGCGTTATGTGTGCTTTCCTCCGAGGCTAAGGGGTCCCCTTCTTCCAGCCATAGGTGGTACCTCCCTTCCAGCGGTGGTACTGGTACAATATATATATATATATATATATATATATATATATATATATATATATATATATATATATATATATGCGAACAAGCCAGAATGTGTTCCTCACGTGTGCCCCTAAGAATGAGGTGATTTGGTAAAATGCTATGCCCAAGATAACTATCCGAGTGCCGGCGGTGGGGTGGTTCAAATAGCCTCGGCTATCACCTCATTATGTCCGGTCGTGATGGTCAAGTGGATTAAGGCGTCTTGTACATACCAGTTGCGTTGCTTCTGGGAGTATGGGTTCGAGTCACTTCTGGGGTGTGAGTTTTCAGTTATATATATATATATATATATATATATATATATATATATATATATATATATATATATATATATATATATATATATATATATTTATGCTTCATATTCTCTTCAGCCTTGGAATAATAACCATGATTTGAATTGAACACAACACAATCAGCAATGTCTTGGTGTAATTACATTTTATTAAATAAATGAATGTAAGTTAAAAGTAGTTAGGGATTGGCATTTCATTATATTAAGCCATATCATTTTCTCATATATTATTTAATGCATTAACGCTAATGTTTTCATCGTGAATTATGTATATGCTCGTACATGTGATCACCTGAATAAACCCTAAACATAATTTCTGTTTTAATTATGATCATCCATTTGTTTCCATGACTAGAGGATGTCATTAACATAATCTATACTTGTCAATGAATAATAATTACCCATTGGGATTAGTTTCCAAAATCTATCTTGTTAAAAATTAATGCTGTTTTCAGGCCAATGGCTTAGTGTCCGCAAATGTGTGTGGGTTAGGGCGCTACCGACGCCAGACTGATGACGGATATTTTCTGAAAAAAACGTGAATTGTGGTATCGGATAGTGGCCTTCCAGACTCTGGTCTGGAAGTCGGGTAGTGCTTCTGGTAGAGATAAAAATTTTTTTAGATTATCAGGGTCCAGATGGTAGTGCTTGAGTCTAAGGATTCCAGGACTTTAGTTCAATTCCATTCTACGGATTCAATATTTTATCGTCGATACATCAGGATCTTGTGATATATTGATTAACGAAAACGTCCTTGGCATATGTTTTCGCAGATGTTTGTCTTGACACTGTTCTAGAATTTCACCTGTTGACTAAACCACACACTAGAAAGTGAAGAGACGACGACGTTTCGGTCCGTCCTGGACCATTATCAAGTCGATTGTGTAGAATTGTAGAATTTCTCCTCTTCCGTCGCAATACTGATGGCTCTCAGGCTGATGGTCCTAAGATCTCAAGCTTCAGTCTTCACCGAGGGAAGAATATTAACTTTTAAACTGGTTTTAATCTTGTTTCCGCGTTACTTCTTCACAATCTTGTAAAAACTGAACAGTTTTACAGCATGTGTTATTATAGTGACCTCCCAACAGAGACGGTGAGTTCCCTTCACTATAATGCTCAATGTTAACGAAACATACGTGTTCCATTCGCTAAAGCGAGTCTCGCACATGTCTAAATATGGACACGCGCGCAGAAGGCAATATACTTTCTTGTTAGACAAGAAAGTATTTTCATTTTGTGGCACGCAAACTGTGAATATTGTTTTACAACAAATACATATCACTTCAAATTATTATTACTTAAGTCTGTGAATTCTGGTTTAGAAGTTATCATTTGGAAGCTGGTGTTCCCAGCTGTTGTAAATGGGTTTCTAATGCATTGAAGTTTTGAAACGCATTTGTCCTTAATTAAATTATTTCGTTATAAATATATTTCATTCCAATACAATATAAATTATTATTGTAAAGCGTTCAAATGTTCGAAAATTGATCTCTGTTAATTTACATTTTATTACTGTGAAGAAATATTTGATCGAATTTGTCTAAATATATTTTAGACCGTCCTGGGCTATTATCAAGTCGTGTGTCAGAAGAGGGGAAGGTGCAAGCACCTTTCTCTCTTCTATAATTACTTAACAGGACATTTCGGTCCAGGACGGACCGAAACGTCGTTGCTTCTCCATCTTCTGAGTTGTGGTTTGATCATCATAATATTGTCTACATGACACCTCTTACTTTAATGTTCTCCAAGGAATTAAGTAAACAATGAAGGCTATTTTATATTGCTCCTTATTGGTACAATAAAATTTATAAGCTGCTATTGACAGCGGTTGGTCTCATTGTGTCACCCGTGACCTCCGGTTGTACCTTACTGTCTAAATTTTCTCTAGAATTTTTTTTAGATTACATTATTTTTGTTCAATATTATTTCATTTATAAGGGGCTTGTATATATACGAAAAGAGATGATGTATTCACGCTGGTTTTCATTGTAATAAAACTTCCACCTCTATGTCAGTCCGTGATTGTATTTGTACAGGAACAGAAAGATGGCTCTGGGGGAGTGCCAGATACGGCAAGCTTCCATCAGCAAGCTTCGTCTATACATCCTCCTACACACACAACAGTTTAGCGTCAAGTGGCTGCTGGCTCTCAGCGCTGCAACTCATCCTCCGAATTGACAGTACGGTTTAATACTAAATGTAATACGTTCATTTCCTGACTGTTAGGAATAGTACATAATTACACTTGTGCTGTTACATTTACCTCCCCATGTTCGGAGGATGGGCTGCAGCACTCTATGCATGTGTGTGAATCGCCCCCTCTCCTTCCGTTATGGGCCACCGTAACGAATGTTGTTGTTATAGATTCAGCTACTCGGAACAAGTTCTAAGTAGCACGGACTATGGTGAGCCCGTAACTTACCTGGCACAGGAGCGGGGCAAGAAGCACGGGCTATGGTTAGCCCGGGCACCGTAACGGAGGAAGAGGGGGGGCACTTATTCATGCCCGTGCCACCTCTTGGGTGGCTTAATCTTTATCAATCAATCAATCTCCCTCCGCCCAGGCTATTGCTCATACCTTAACAACCCTCTAAATAGTACAGTATTTGAAATTCCTCATGAGTGTTTCATATCTTCATATTTACATGTAATACAGTAACTACTGAATGTAACTGACAAAGTTTACAAATTGTGCGTATTTAAGATGATTCTTCGTCTACATGTACTCCCCAGAACTCTTTAGCAGAGTAAAATTATAAGCAATGGTAGCCAAAACATGACACTGAAGTTTCACAAGTGGTGGACAGATAATGAAAATAATGTAAAGATGTAATGTTATGTTACCAGCAGTAATGACACTCCACCATGTGGTCGAACGTACAAAAATGGACCGTTGCAGCCATCAGTATGTACATGTTGTATTATTAATTCTTCGAAGAAACGAAAAACCAAAATGAAAGTTAAAAATTCATGGTCTAGTACAGGTCATATATGTATTGTATTAGGCATAAGATGGCGTCTGTTAGGTCTAGGACTACTGGGACAGGTTATACTATAGGTTCTTCAGTTACTTTTTCACGTGTTTAGAATCCCATTTGTGATATGTCCCAAATGGGACAGATATACTCTGAGTAAATTGGTCCTATAAGCACTATCATTACTGGAAGATGAGCAGTATCCAATTCCACGACTTGATAATGATCCAGGAAGGACCGGAACGTCGTCGTTTCTCCATTGTCTGATGTGCGGTTTGGTCATCAACATTAAAAGATGTGCAATTTTAATGCTAGAAGATTTCTGTGTACTTGACGTGCGTCTCACATCGAACCCCTTGTGTGTGCTGGCTGGCTGAGTGGTCTCTTCGCCTCTGGTAACGCAACTGGTCTTTATGCCACTTCCATAAAGCAAGAGTAATTGTTGCTTGGAGAACCCTAGAGAAGCTGTATCCCGTCCGGGTCTCCATAGCCATGAACCGGCTATGGACATGCAGACGGTCTGGTGCCAACACATTTACTGAAACATTCAGACACGCCACCAAACGCGTGCGATTAGCTACAGTTCGTTTGCCTCTTGCAGTCATCACCAGCACTCTGCTCTATAGTGGTGTACCATTTCCTCACCACCTTAATCTAGATACTAGACAACAGTATTTCTACATCCTTTGAACCACTAAAGTCGCCAAAATCCTTTAGATACCATTCATGAAAATTGACGAAGAGTAGCTAGCAGCAGCAGAGACAGGAACATATACAAGAGTTAATAAGTCCCTACTAATGGGGGACTTCACTTGAGAACCATAGTGCATTGACTAAAGGTATTCTTTTCTAGTGCATAGTTACTTGTGGATGCATATAAAGCATGACCAATAATTTATATGTATAAAAAAGGGATGAAGGATGAGTATGAAACATGGGTCATATATCGCATCACCAAGTTTTGGGGCATCAATATTTTTGTTATTGGAAATCAACCATTTCCTTAACAATATACCATGAACATAATATTTACAATATAATGAAACTATCAGGCTATTAATAGAAGGTAATGTGAAGACAATGGGGTCAATGAAAACGGTGATTTCCTTCTTGAAAATGTAAAAATTTGAAAACTCTTGCTGAGAAAATGTCTGCATCAATTTTAGACATTATGACACGGACACTAAGATCTGTCTTTGCAAGCACAAGATTATCAAGTCATTTATTGACAAGGTTTCAAAGTCCTTTCAACTCCAATGAGTATTGGAGTGTCACAGGAGGTGAGTATATGAATCATTCACTCATGAGTACCTCCACTCTCGACCAGTCTGAATCTGCTACAACAGAACACCCCCCTATACAATCTTCTCAGTCTCTGGAACTGATTTATCGTTTTCTAAATCACCGTTTTCAACTTTAGTGTCCTTATCTTCCCCATCACCGACGCCAGTATGGTTATCGTGATCGCTGTCGCAGCATCCGGAACAACAGGACTCTGAGGATATGTTGGAGAGCGGTCGACCCTGGCTGGGTGACGCTGAAGAGGACCTGGGTAATGTGCTGTTGTCTCGCTTGCTGTCATTCCGGTTCAAGGAAGACAAGGAGCCTTCACTGGGATGAAGAAGGTGTAATACAGGCGAAGCTCTCTGGCGACGGTCCTCTGTGTCTGATCCTGTGGCGGAGGAGGTCGGTAAGATACGTGGAGGAGAGAGACATGGGTTAGTTGAAGTGGATTATCACAATGTCTAAAAGATAAATAGTTTTGACCTATTGCCTCAAGAGTTGTAGACGATGAAATTTTATTAAATTAGTTAAATTAGCAAATACTAGACTAGTATTTGCTAAATTTGTAAGCTCTCTGAATACGAAATTCTTCGTTCACCAGTAAATTTCTTTTTCCTTATTTTTGGAACTAATGCACCCGATTTATTTTAGTTAGGTTTGGTGATGTTCAGCAGTTTAGATTAAGGTGAGTTACGTTAATTAGGCAAATTTAATTGCGTTACTTAGGGTAGGTTCATTTGGCTACCGTAATTAAATAAGGTTAGGTTTATTTACGATAACTGGGTTATATGAATTATTTCAAGTATTAGACAGGTGATGCTCACACATTTATTTTTACTTCGCGGAAGAAATCTTTATCTAAATACAACAGTAATGAACGAAGCATTTGACCCAAAAATGACCGGCCGGTTACTATATGATTATTATTTTTAGTTCCCTTGGATAATGAGGTATATTTTAACTAAAGGTTTTGTTGCAGTGCTCTAGGATGAGAGAGTATTCTAGACTTCATTTAAGGCACATGCCCACGTCTACTGATTTTTTTGTAAATCTTGGTAAAAATTTCCATTTCCAAATAAAGGATTTTAATTTTGATCATTGTTGAGTGCATGCGGGAGTCACCTCACACTCACACTCACCTGTTATGGAAAAGTTCCTGAAGGCAGTGACGGGACTGAGCGGTGAACGCGGCTCCTGTCCGTATCCGGAGACGGAATTACTGAGGTTATCTCCGCTGTCACTGACGCCCGCGGGCGCTCTGTGGAGGTCCATGTCCGAGGCGTAGATGGAGTGATGCCTGTACGCGGAGCCAGAGTGTGGGGCCCTGATGCTCCTGACGCCCATCACCACGGAGGGGCGGCGGCGTGGGTTGCCCAGACTGCCGTGAGTGACGTCTGGGTCCTCCCGCCACACCTCTGGGGACTCTTTCCTGCCCTGGTCCAAGAGGCCGTGATCGCTCTGGCCGCGCTCCAGCGGGAACCGCTTAGGCTGGATTCCCAGTGCACTCAGCAGGTCCGGGTTATACCTGTGGGATTTTTGTATATAGTTTTTTCTAATCATAAATTATGCCAGTAAAGTTTAATTCGGCCTTATGGCCGTTACAACTAAAATTATAATGCCCAAGAGGCTCACATAAATTTTTTTTAGACCGTTTTCAATAAGATTTTCTGACATTGAATACAAATTTACATGTGTGTAAATCACGAAAAAATAAACACGTGATTAAAAATGTGACAGTGTCAGACCACGGAGGAAAATTGAAACAATTTGACTCCTTCTGAAGATGTATTAATATATGAAAGTACTTAAGGAAATTCCTGTTTCAATTTTCCTCCGTGGTCTGACACTGTCACAAATTTACATATATATAATCTTCAACTTTTAAGTTAATAATGAGTATTATTGAAAATTACTTATCAAAAGTTAATTGTATTATATATATATACGCGACAACTTAGATTATAACATATTAGGAACGACTGACTTACAGAGGAAGGTGATGGACCTTAATGGGTTCAGGAGTCTGCTCCCGGGACACTACGCCCTTCTTGCGCTTGGAGCTACGCTTACGGTGAAGACCCGAGTACTGCGGCTCTTGCAGGAGCAAGTTTTTCCTCATCTGGTGTTGTTGTTGTCGCAAGAACTGTAGCTGTTGCTGCTGTTGCTGCAGGCTGGCTTGGGAGGCTGCTGTAAAGGTCACGTTTCTGCGTAGTCTGTCTGGGACAGGAGCCAGACGTGCCACGGGCCGACGCACCGACATGCTGTCAGTTGAATTTTAGTACGAAATTAGTATTTTCTGTCTTCCGTACAATGAGTGTTTCTATACTTAACTCGTCAGGTTAATGAGGAAATAAAAATAGTACTTCATGCTACTCAAGTCAAACTAAAAAGGGGGACGCTACCTGTAAGATCTGTCCCTGAAGCGTTCGGTGGACTCGTCTGTCTCTCCCAAGTCGAAGTCCTCAGCGAGCTCAGGGTACGCGTCTGCCCTTCTCAGTCTTTCCAAACCCAGGTGCTCGAGATGGTTCGAGTCCTCGGGGCTGTAGGAGTGGCCTTGAGGACCCAAGTAATATTTTGGGTAAGAACGTTCTTCTGAGCGTCGACTGGGCTCCTGGGAGAGGTTCCGGGAATATTTACGAGAGTTCTTGCGCTGTCTGTCTCGTTCCTCTGCCACTGTATTTGCCAAGATCCTGGAAATATAATAAACTATTTAGATCATATGAATCTCTTTCATGACGGCTCTCTCTCTCTCTCTCTCTCTCTCTCTCTCTCTCTCTCTCTCTCTCTCTCTCTCTCTCTCTCTCTCTCTCTCTCTCTCTCTCTCTCTCTCTCTCTCTCTCTCTCTCTCTCTCTCTCTCTCTCTCTGTCTCTCTGTCTCTCTCTCTCTCTCTCTCTCTCTCTCTCTCTCTCTCTCTCTCTCTCTCTCTCTCTCTCTCTCTCTCTCTCTCTCTCTCTCTCTCTCTCTCTCTCTCTCTCTGTCTCTCTGTCTCTCTGTCTCTCTGTCTCTCTCTCTCTCTCTCTCTCTCTCTCTCTCTCTCTCTCTCTCTCTCTCTCTCTCTCTCTCTCTCTCTCTCTCTCTCTCTCTCTCTCTCTCTCTCTCTCTCTCTCTCTCTCTCTCTCTCTCTCTCTCTCTCTCTCTCTCTCTCTCTCTCTCTCTCTCTCTCTCTCTCTCTCTCTCTCTCTCTCTCTCTCTCTCTCTCTCTCTCTCTCTCTCTCTCTCTCTCTCTCTCTCTCTCTCTCTCTCTCTCTCTCTCTCTCTCTCTCTCTCTCAATGATGTACGCAGCAGACTCACATGATGGCCTCGGCGTGGTCTGGACCTGCAGGGTTGCTGACCCCCATCACGGCCGAGCCCTGCAGGTGGTGGCGCGGGGGAGGGTCGTACAGCTGGGTCTCGTCCTCCAGCTGCACGAAGCCTCTCCCGCCGTAGAAGGTGGAGCCCCCAATGTTCAGCAGGTCGTCAGAGAAGGCTTCCCGCAGGTGTCTGTTCTTGCAGCAGGCGACCACGCACACCAAGACAGAACCCAGCAGGAGCAGACCTGAAGGAGGATTAGAGCATAAGACATACATCAAAATGGGAGAAGTCTTGATCTGAGGACGCCTCGGCCAGCGGCTCTCCACAAATCAAGACAAACTTGTCTTGATCTGAAGACAATCCTTCTGTATGTCAATATACTTGTCAAACAATCCCGCCTATTTTTCAGCCTGGCGTTCGTTGATGAGAGTGACGAAGCCAAGCAGGCGCCTGTACCTTACCTCCGAGGCCCAGGAGTGATGGACCGACGACCAGCAAGACGGGGTCGTGCGGGTCGTTCTCGTAGGCGTAGGCAGTGACGAAGGTGCCCACTCCCACGAGAATGACAGCGACGATGAACACGCAGAGTACGTAGGGCGCCCCCACCACCGGCCGCACCTGCAGGATGAAGGAGGGGGATGATATTCAGGCCGCGACGAGGGAAGGTGGCGCACACAATGTCAGAGGAAACACTAGAATCACCCACTTCGAATATCATAGACGCGAAGTTTACAGATAAAAGGAAGAGTCTTTGGCGATCTGGTGGATTCAGAGCAATATACGCCACCTAGACCAACATTACCATGGAGCCCTGACCTCGTAAAATGTAAAATAAATGCTGCAAAATTTCATAGATTTGCCTCAAGGCTAGTACGAGAAATAGTGGAGGCCAGCCAGGTGCAGGAGCGGAGGCCAGCTGGGGCAGGAGGCAGTGGAGGCCGACCGGGTGTAACTGCATTCACAACTTCAGGAGTAACTATGACAACACAACAAAATCGGCTAGTTGCTGCACCAGAAGGCGGACAGTTAAAAGACTTAAAAAGATTTAAAAGACCAAGAATTATAGCTCATCCGGCAACACTCGTGGCGTATAATCGCTGGTGTAGTGGCTACGGTACTAGACAGCCGGTGGGATGATCCTGGTGGCCTAGGTTGCGAATCCATAAAGGGGTCATTAGAGCTTATTGTTTTAAAATTAGCTTGGGAACCATTCTAACTTTGCGCACACACACACACACACACACACACACACACACACACACACACACATTGCTTTCATTGTTCCTCTCCATCATTCGAGGATTTTGTTGAACTCTACTTCCCGTAACAATTAATTTTGTCCCTTTTCTGTAACCAATCCTACGTAATAAAATGTAAAATTTAATAAATATTAAAAACCATCGGAGGTGGTAAGAGAAGACATTATGCAAGGTGAGCCCCGCTAGGCTCCCTTCACCCCCGGGTGGCCGTATATTTATAATTTACAACACAAAGCTCTGAACAACAAGAATAAGCTTTTGTCTTATTAAAAGCTCAGCCACTTCCACACACTGACTTACCAGTCTCTGATATTATTTATTTTATTTTAATTTATATACAAAATAAAAAAACTGCTTACATTCTTGTACAGCCACTAGCACGCATAGCGCTTCGGGCAGGTCCTTAATCTTAATTTTCCCCGGATTTTGTTGTTGTTGTTTAAGATTCGCTACATGGAACAAAAAGTTCCATGCAGCACGGGCTATGGTGAGCCCGTGTTTTTTTTTCCCCGGAATACGACCCGCCAAATCGTTTAACAACCAGGTACCCATTCACTGCTGGGTGAACGGAGGCGTACGGCTAAGGATTGGCGCCTAGTCAATCCTCCCCGACTAGGATACGAACCCAAACCAAATCGCTTGCGAATCGCAGGGTGAGTGTCTTACCACTGCGCCACGGGGACATAATATTATTCTTATTTCTCATCAAGTTGCTCCTGCAACCCGCCTCGACTGGACGTCTACCAGGGTCATGGAGTGATAATGATATTTTCAAAGATTCTTATTGATATACATTGAGGAAATATAATAAAGAACATGTGTATGACTCTCCCCTCAAGTGAGGACAAATGTACACCTGTTCCAATTGTACACCAACACCAGGAGCACACCGATTGATGATTGATGAAGATTAAGCCACCCAAAAGGTGGTACGGGCATGAATAGCTCGTAAGTGGAGGCCTTTCTGAGCCATTACCAGTACCAATAGATGATACTGGAGATCTGTGAAGGTGCGACTGCACCCTGCGTGACGGGAGATGTCTGCCGTGAGGAGCACACCGGCACAAAATGAGCGCCAGCACCAGTCCAACACCTGTACCAATTTAACATTAGGATAGACATGTGTACCGGTGGCAGATGTACACCAGTTCCAGCTTCCATTACACATGTATATACCAGCGCCAGTTGTACGCAAGTATGAATCCGTACACCAGCACCAGCTTCATACCAACACAATACAACATATACTATTCAGAGTAGGGACTGCACACTCCCGGGGTTGATAAGGAATTAGACGAAGCCTTGCCTTAAGAGGAAATGTCATGGCGTTAGCAGAAACGTTTGGTTGTGGAAACCCAACAGTCACTGACTTGGGTTGCTGGTAAAGTTTACCTCATTCATGTGGTATATACTCCGAAACTTGTATTCTTCCGCCTGTATCAACTAAGAGTATACTTTAATCTATAACTCTGGTATTTATGTATAGCTCAGTGTTATAAGGAAGTCAGAATGCCTGCTTGAAGATCCTATAACAGTCGATAGACTTTGCACTTAGATTCGTTTGGTATCGGACTTAAGGACTATCAACCTTTTGAAGGGTTATTAAGGGCCAACCAGCAAGTAAATTTTAGTCCAGAACATAGTTCACGACTCAAAGGAAACTCTCAGTGTACGTTCACCGAGAAGCTGAGTACACTTCGGTCTATATCTCCCTTACGTGTACTAACTAAAAAGCTTCGAAATAGGAGGGTAGACATGGCCTAAGTTACTCTATCCTTTTGAGATGTATTTTCTTATCTGAATAAACTTACTTAAATTTGATTAAAAGAGACGAATAAGTTACGTTTGGTGAGATTAGGGTACACCATCCTACTAAGGAGGGAGGGAAAGGGGGGGGGGGAGCAGCAAGGGAAATCCTGTGTAGGCATCATGTATATCTTTTCGGAAAGGCGGGAGAACCTAATGACACTCGGCTCTGTACACCTTATAGTCGAGTGTAATTGTAACTACACAGATATTTGTGTTTGTATTTACATAAATGTGTTTGTGGGGGGCACGAGTCTTAGCTCTTGAGGCGAGTCTCGGGAGTTTTTTTGGTTTGTGCAATGATGGCCGACCCCTCTCCCCTTCCCCGTCCCCTCGTTCTCTCTCTCTCTCTCTCTCTCTCTCTCTCTCTCTCTCTCTCTCTCTCTCTCTCTCTCTCTCTCTCTCTCTCTCTCTCTCTCTCTCTCTCTCTCTCTCTGTCTCTCTCTCTCCCTCTCTCTCTCTCTCTCTCTCTCTCTCTCTCTCTCTCTCTCTCTCTCTCTCTCTCTCTCTCTCTCTCTCTCTCTCTCTCGTATACCAATATTATAGAGCTGTGAAACAGAGTTCGCCTCCGCTTCTAATTCCTTCCACTAACTATTAGCACACTCGAAAAACTTTTCCCTTTATCCCTCTGACTCATCTGGAGTGTTGTGTGTTTGCGTGACTCATTGCGTGTAATATAACAGTATCTGTATGACGAGCTCACTCGTGTAACACAAATTATTTGAGATTTATAATACAAATAATATATTTTACATTTTTGTTTAGGTAAAAAGGAACATTTAATTCTACGCATTAATAGTAGACAATTTAATCTAAAGTATTGTTGTGATAACTTTTGTAGCTGCTTTTCTTACGAGTCCATCCCTGTCCTGTGTGGCAGGATTGAAAGTTGCACTTACTAAATCGTGAATATGTAATATGTGATGTAATATATTGTGAACTGTTACAGTATCGACATCGTCGCTGGAGGGCAGAGTGGCGATTTCTGCGCCATCTATGGACCTGCACTGCAACTCCCCGGTATTGGGTGCAACGCGAGCAGCGCCATCTGTTGGTGGTGGCGTGACATCGGTGACCCCCCCCCCCCCACCCTGGTGTCCTGCCTCAGTTAGAAGGTGAGGTCGATGAGGATGACCTCTGGTGGGAGGCGTAACGAGATCAACGCCATCTAGGTTGCAACTACAATTACAATATCAGTTCCCTGATGGATGGGTGTTAATCCTAGGGTCACCCAGTATACTGTTCGTCTAGCTAATGACGTTTTATGTTCGCAGAGGTGATGTATGAAGGCGATTGCGCTAAGGAAGATTGTTCACCTGGGACAGTCAAGAACTCTTGACTTGGTCCTGTGAGAGGACAAAGTGGTCGTTGTCGATTATAGCAGTGTTGTATGGACCGACGTACCCGGGATTGGCCAGGAAGAGTTATGAGACGATAGTGGTGTGTCTGTGAGGTCAAGTGAGCGAGAAGTGCTGCTAGTGAGCGACTAGAAACTTCTGCCAGAGTGCTAGCTACCCCTGTATGTGATTATATGAGGGCCCCTGTCAGCGTGTTGCTGAAACCCTCTGCCAGTGGGTGTCTGGAGAGCGGAAATGGGGTATTAGCACATCGTGACGATACAGTGTGTATGGACTGGCCCATGTTGAGGAAGGTGAACTCGCCGGCGATTGCCATTAATGTGGACGACGGGTACCTGGAAAGTGGATTCACCGGGATTTGATGAACACTGCCGATGTATCGTCTTGAGTGAAAGAGACACTTTGTAAATATGTGTAGTAATACTTGCATATAATTTAGTGGTGAAGGTGTAATTGTGTATAGTTTATCCCCCCTTTTATTCTTTGCACTACTACCTGCCCCAGCCAGTTCTTGCTTACCACCGACTTGGGGTTGGATTAAGACGAAGAGGTTATAAGATAGGTTAACAGCAAGAACCCGGTTACTGGACCAAAGTGGCCGTAACATGACTTTACGAAATATGTTTAAATCTATAATTTACACTATTTTCTTATGTACGAGGCTGTCTTGTGTAGCAGTGAATACGAGCAACATGCTTACTGCAATAAGACCTAGAATAATTATTCCGATTAGGCAAAATGTTCATCTTGTCAATAAAAATGGTAATAATAATAATGTGGCGATATTTTTTTTAATATCGGGTTAATATTGGAGTGTGAAAGACAATGAAAAATTATGACATTTGAACGCCACACTTAAATTTCAACCTTACAGCTTCTAGAGTGTGTAAAATAATATTTATGTGCATTATCATTTATAAGTTTGTCAGAGAAGCCTTGCGGACTGAAATATGATATATTGTCCAAACAAATGAAATAGTTAAACTATAATTTTAATCACTAGCCAAAATGAGATCTTTATTTTTTATTCCTAAGGGTCATATTATTCTAGTTATATATATTCTTATACGTAACACAATACTGAGTAAATATGCATGGAAAATTGGATGATGATGTAAACTCAAAATTGAAGAAAGCATATTAAACACTTGCATACCATTCGTAGAATTACGGAAAAGAATATATTAACTGTTAATGTAATACTGGTCATGAATATAAAGCTTAGAAAAGACACAACATTTTGCTCTGAAACCGGTGGTCCATAATGTCAGAGGAAGTCAGTGCTGGAAAGTCATCATCTTCCTTTGATATTATGAACCACTTTTATTTATTTACAAAATGAACATATGTTTGAGCCAAATAATATTTTCTTTACGTTCTGCATTCATTGTCAGAACCTCTGTAACAGTTAATATATTAATGATTCATAGAACTTTGCTACGTGAATATAAATGGCTTTTTTAATGGGTTTGGGTACATATGCAGGTGGCATTTGGTACAGTCATGGAGCCTATGCAAGTCGTATGCTAAAGTACGAACACATAGATACACATACAGCTCTCTTATATAATGTGTTTTATTTGATAGGTAGAAAAGTATTGCCTCTCAGAGTGGAATAAATTATTTAACCAGTGTGAATTAAATAATCGTTTAACTACTTAATTTATTAGATAATCTATCACATTTATGTCTGAGGCTTCTAAAAGCGACCAGCAGTGTTTACAAATATCTTTTTTTACACACCAAGTCGTATCCTGGAAATCCTTATGGCGTCGAAATGACGTCAACCACTAGAACGCGCTGCGGGCTAGACTTTTTTGCAGTAACCTTGAAGAAACTAGAATGGAGAGACCATTCGATCCCCGACGGTCCAAGTTGTTGGGCACCATTCCTTCTTTCCGTCTTGTCCCAGATCCATAGTCCTCAAATTCCTGCTCTCTTTTCCTTGTATCCCAGAAACGTGTCCTGGTTCCCCTTCTAAGTGGTATATAGCCAGTACTTTGCCAGCGATCTTTCCTCGTATGTATATTGCATTACATAAAATGGAATATGATTGGCATTGGGGTAACTACGTTTCTCTGTACATTAATTACTAGGTCGCATTACAGCTGATTTGTAACGTAATAGCACTGTCACGTCAGGGCTAATTTATACAGAAATTCTGAAGTGAAACTGACTGATAGACCGCAAGATCACACTGCCACTGATGCGTTCCTAATCTCCAGCTGTTAACAGGACACCCTTGGCTGCGTTCTTAATTCTTGACGACCGAAGAAGTCTAATTTATACTTGCCACTGCCACTTTTTCTTAGAGCGAAGAGGTTGTAGGGTTGGGAGGAGGTTGTAGGGTGGGGGGGAGGTTGTAAGGTTGGGAGGAGGTTGTAGGGTTGGGAGAAGGTTGTAGGGTTGGGAGGAGGTTGTAGGGTTGGGAGGAGGTTGTAGGGTTGGGAGGAGGTCGTAGGGTTGGGAGGAGGTTGTAGGGTGGGGGGGAGGTTGTAAGGTTGGGAGGAGGTTGTAGGGTTGGGAGAAGGTTGTAGGGTTGGGAGGAGGTTGTAGGGTTGGGAGAAGGTTGTAGGGTTGGGAAGAGGTTGTAGGGTTGGGAGGAGGTTGTAGGGTTGGGAGGAGGTTGTAGGGTTGGGAGGAGGTTGTAGGGTTGGGAGGAGGTTGTAGGGTTGGGAGGAGGTTGTAGGGGTGGGAGGAGGTTGTAGAGTTGGGAGGAGGTTGTAGGGTTGGGAGGAGGTTGTAGGGTTGGGAGGAGGTTGTAGGGGTGGGAGGAGGTTGTAGAGTTGGGAGGAGGTTGTAGGGTTGGGAGGAGGTTGTAGAGTTGGGAGGAGGTTGTAGGGTTGGGAGGAGGTTGTAGGGTGCAAAATGTTGTAGGGTTGGGAGGAGGTTGTAGGGTGCAAGAGGTTGTAGGGTACGAGCAGGTTGTATTGCTCGCCTGGGACCCCTACTCCTCCCCACCTCCACCCCTGCCACTTCTCTATGCATATTGCACGAGGAGAAATCAGGTGATCAAAGGACTCGTATGCACAGGGTATAGAAGGAAAAGGGATGGGGATAATGTGGGAAAAGAGATGGGGGAAGGGGGGAGGAAAAGAAAGAAAATTGAAGAGGAAAAAATAAGGAAAAAGTATAGGGAAAAATAATATAAATATGTGGACAAGAAAAAGGAAAAGGAATGTGAAATTCAAGAAAATATGAGAAAATGATAGAAATATGTGAAAGATTATGGGACAAAAGTTGTATAAACAAAATATGCAAGACAAGCAAACATTCAATATCCATAATGTGTGCATATTGAATTATTTTGTTTCAAATATATTTTTGAGTTAATTTGAAATGATATATAAAGGAGAGCATGATTCTAGAGTGATTGTGTTGCTTCCTTTAACAGCAGATCCGGCAGTGTTGCCTGACTTGCCATACACGTTGGAGAATATTATTCGAAACTGCCGGCTTTCTTCTAACCTAGTTTCTGATATTCCCTCCAAACCTATTCTGAGACGTGCGAACAAGTCACCTAACCTATCGACGCTAATGTATAGAAAACGTAAACATTTATGGACTGATGTGTTTTCCTGGTAGCTTGTAGCGTGGGTTACCATAACTTGAAAAAACACGTGGTATTATTTATTTGTGAAGATGTTTTTTTTTTAATTCACGGGCTGAAATTTGGCACCTATATCTTGCTTGAGTGGAATGACAATATGTCAGCACCCTTCCCCTTTAATTCTCATCCTCTGTCTCTCTCTCTCTCTCTCTCTCTCTCTCTCTCTCTCTCTCTCTCTCTCTCTCTCTCTCTCTCTCTCTCTCTCTCTCTCTCTCTCTCTCTCTCTCTCTCTCTTGTACCGTGTATTTACACAACACATATTTGCCAGATAAAAACCATTATTCAACATTTCTTTCTGGCGTGTGCTGCGTCGCTCAGTTGCTAATTATCCAGGATGACGGCTGATAATTCGGATATGTCCGAATTATCTTCCCGGATATGTCCTCTTATCTGAACATAGTCCGGAGTAAAGTTCGGCTTAACAGCGTCAAATATAAATAGGATGCAAGGGTTGGAAGTCGCCATCCGGAGAGTGTATGATGAATGATAGCCATGTGTGACTCAGTAGTGTATGATGAATGATAGCCATGTGTGACTCAGTAGTGTATGATGAATGATAGCCATGTGTGACTCAGTAGTGTATGATGAATGATAGCCATGTGTGACTCAGTAGTGTATGATGAATGACAGCCATGTGTGACTCAGTAGTGTATGATGAATGACAGCCATGTGTGACTCACTAGTGTATGATGAATGACAGCCATGTATGACTCACTAGTGTATGATGAATGACAGCCATGTGTGACTCAGTAGTGTATGATGAATGACAGCCATGTGTGACTCAGTAGTGTATGATGAATGACAGCCATGTGTGACTCACTAGTGTATGGATGATTTTATCGCCTTTCCACTGCCTCATCTTTTCGAAAGGTGTTTGACGGAATTACATAACTACGGAGAGAGAGAGGGGTGCCCAACCGGCTCGACTACGTGGCGTGGTCGACGACAACTACATACACCGTCGCCCGAGGAGCTCACAGACACGGAGACACGGGTCACCAAGATGCTTGGTGCCATACTGGAGCCTGAGAAATATATTCAACACCATATGACTGCAGGTTAACGGGCGTCGGCCAATTCTTGCGTGACACTCTGGGCATGAATGTAACCGAAGTTACTGTCAAGTGAATACGATCAGAATCGAGCCTACCTGGTGAGGAGTGTTCAGCTGTCGCCGATACCCCGAGCTGTCAAGTGTTGACATCATCTTGATACTCTTCCTTGGGTCTGAAAGCGAGGAATACAAAAACATATGAATAAATAGGAAACTGCAGATCGATTGACCCACACGAGGCAGCTATTATCTAAGCTGCTTTTAGATTTAGGTAAGCTAAATCTATGGATTTAGAATTATCTAAATCCTTGGTTCGCAAGCTCTTCACGGTCATTACCTCTTCTTCATAGAGGGGTCTTTATTAATGCCCCCCTACTTTCAGTATTAATTTTTCTTTTAGCAACCTACGAGCTCACCCCACTAGCTGGTTATTTCCCCCCCCCCTTCTGGTGTCATCACCTGTATACTGCCTCGACATATGACCCCCTACATATTGCAAAAAGCCCCCCCTCCCCTAGGAGGGCCCTGGCCCCCAGTTTGGGAACCAGTGATCTAAATAAATTAAATATATATATATAGATATATATATATAATATAAATTGTCAAACACCATATCGTAGACAATATTTCATTCTCTTTGGACCCTCGGAACCTCGAACCGCAGACCACACAATCAGCAGCCTACAGTTGAGATGGTTTACCTCCTTACGTCCCGGATTCAACCATGGGTTCCTCCTTATCTTACTGTTTTCCCTTTTGGAACGGGACAAGCTTGTTTGCTGCTTCTTGACACTTCTGGGTGGTATAAGACGCCATGTCTTGTGCTACTTTCTCTCTGAGTTCGGTTACTTATGGGTATTTACGTCAGGAATTGTCTTATCCCTTCATAATTACTCTTTCAGTATGTCATCCTTTTGTTTTCTGGACCTCCTTCCTTGAGTAATTTATCCCTACTTCCAGCAGATATTCAAACGTCAATACACTGTGATCACTCATTCTCATGGGGGATTCTAAATTGATTTCCCTTATGTCTGACTCATTCAGAGTGAATATAAGGTCAAGTCTAACTAGGTTATTATTATCTTTCATTCTTGTGAATCCTCTAACATGTTGGTTTAAAATGAGTCCTTTCTTATCAACAGGGGCCACTCCTCCTCATCTCCTTCCTTCCCTCTCTTTATTACACTGCACTCCTGGGAAAACGCTGCATTTGCTTTAACACCTGACAATTTCGTTTCAGTGAGTGCAATTACGTCTGGGTTGTATTTTTCTGTTTTTTTTTTTCAAATTTCCTTTATTTGTAAACCCATTTATGTTTATATATGACTTTGAAGCCAACTTTCTTCTGTCCAGTTACTTGTCCCTTGGTGTTAATTTCTCTGGAGTGTGTGTGTGTGTCTAACTTACGCCTGAAACAATCCACTCATCCCACATATATTATGTTATCCAGTAATTTGTTCTATAAATGAACTACTCTGTCTCCATACCAGTATTTACCCAGGTCTTTCCTGAATCTAAACATATTCTATTTATATTCCATTGTTTCGTGTACTATTTTGTGTTGATTTATTTCAAACTGTTGTGATCTTCAGTCTGTAGACTAGGAAAGCTAAGACTCTAGTTCAACTCGTTGTTGAGATAAGTAACATAATATCTACAAGGAGTGAACACCTTCATGCAGATTCTCTCAAGGACTAACGAGTAATTATGACATTAGACACGTTAGCATTCAATCGTTAATGGCAGCAAAGATGAAAGTTCAATTTGAAGAACTTTGAAAGATATTCCATCTCGATCAGGCCGTCTCCCTCGAAACACCCAAGAATACCGTCTCAATCTTTACCTTCAGCGTGGACCTAATTCCTGGTGGCACTGACACCGAGCCAAGATAGAGCCAGTACGCCCTCTCCTTCAGGCACTCCAGATGGTAACTGTCGAGGACCTGGGAGCAACTCCATTGGGCCGGGGCGAGCCACAGGAAGCCGACATCCTCTGCTGGTCCTGACTCACAGAAAATGCCAGTACTCGTCATCAAGGTGGCTGTAGAGTGCTGAGGTAGCATACTCAGGCGGTCTTAAGGACCCGGGTTTGATTCCCGGTTGAGGTAGAAACAAATGGGAAAGGTTTCTTTCATATGATGCTCTGTTCATCTAGCAGTTAATAAGTTCCCTTGGACAGCTGATACGGTCTGCTTCCTGGGGATGTGTGTGTGTGTGTGTGTGTGTGTGTGTGTGTGTGTGTGTGTGTGTGTGTGTGTGTACTCACCTAGTTGTGCTTGCGGGGGTTGAGCTTTGGTTGTTTGGTCCCGCCTCTCAACCGTCAATCTACTGGTGTACAGGTTCCTGAGCTTCTCGAGCTCTATCATATCTACATTTGAAACTGTGTATGGAGTCAGCCTCCACCACATCACTTCCTAGTGCATTCCATTTACTAACTACTTTGACACTAAAAAAGTTCTTTCTAATGTCTCTGTGGCTCATTTAGATACTGAGCCTCCACCTGTGTCCCTTTGTGCATGTACTGCCCGAGTTAAATAATCCATTCTTGTCTACCCTGTCAATTCCCCTGAAAATTTTGTATGTGGTGATCATATCTCCCCGAACCCTTCTGTCTTCCAGCGACGTGAGGTGCACGCAGCCTTTCCTCGTAACTCATGTCTTTTAGTTCTGGGACTAGCCTAGTGGCATACCTATGAACTTTTCCAGCAAATTTTTATATTTTTATATGTATATTTCAAGTTGTAGCTGGGCGGATAAAGTCTTGTGGAGGGGCAGATGTGGCTGGAGACACACACACACACACACACACACACACACACACACACACACACACACACACACACACACACACACACACACACACACACACCCTTGACCCTGACTCCTGACAAGACCTCTACTGATGATACATATTTTAGGTAAATACTGGATTGAAAACAAAGTTTTTTATTTATGATTCGCTGGATTGTTTCAAGTGTAGGTTAGACCTATATGTAAATGAATCTGCGTGGATATAAATACGAGCTGCCTAATATGGGCTAACAGGTCTTCTGCCGTTGTCTTTGTTCGTGTGTTCTTAACAGAATGGTATCGTCATCTTGGTAGATACTAAGTTCACACGAAGATTCCACGTCGAGTCTTGAGTACAGGTCGCTATAGTAGGGTTCATGTGCTTGACCACGACCATGGCTTTTAACTATTTTTATGAGACGTTGAAGTTTGGTTTAAAGCTCATGATTATTTGGTCAAGTTGTAGACTCCTCCGCTAATACACAGTTCCACCGAGTAGTGGAAATTCGACTTGCATGCGACTGGTACGCTCGCTAGTTTATTGTGCACCCCATACTCATCCTGTGAGCTGTAGCGCAAAAAGGATTACAGAGGGCACAAATGTTCCTTACCAGACCTCAACTGAGATTATTACATAAACAATTTTATCTATCCTTCACACCTTATAATTATAATGGTAGTTACAGAGAATGTTCTTTTTCAATATTTACAGTTAATCATTATATATTAATGATTAACTAATACATAATTTTATCGCTAATACATAATTGTTTGAGATATGAAGATATTACAAAGTCATAGGGAAGCTGCAGTTTATTATGATTAGTCTTCACAATACACTACTTGTTTCTTAATCTCATATGTCGTTTATCTACTGGAAATTAAATATGGATACAGTGCAAGGATTTCAGGTATATTATCCATAGTCCTGTTAACACATATCCACGAGTCTTGCAAATTGTTTGGCCAAATTGCATAAATTTAATTTCAACTGGTCAAGAGTTATTATTATAAGCGGCAGCAGCAGTTATGTTTTAATACTTAGAGAATTAGTAGTCGAATTATTAGTATTTAAAAATAATAATGGTATTGTAGCAGTAGTATTAGCAGTAATGTTAGTGATAATAGTGCTAGTAATAGTAGTATGCTAATAGTAGCATTAGTCCCAGTACCAGTTGAAGTATACTAGTACTGAGGTAGTGGTGTCTGAGCCTACGACGGACACAAAAACATTAATGAACAAACTACCATTGAACAAATGCAGTTTCGCCATTTTTAAATATAATTACCGGATGGAATCCCCAGTTATTAAATTCCACAATTTAAACTCGGTCATTTATATGCTCTAGCATATGCTCATTTTACTGTGATTTTAATGTTCTCATTCCAACTTTGTCATTTCAGATATTTGTGGTTAAAACTGCTAATTCAACTTTATGATTTAACCTCAGTGATCACCCTAACCTAACCTTGTCAGACTTAACCTCCCCAAGCGTAGCCTAATGTTGCCAGATCTAACCTAATGAAACTTTGCCTAACCTAACCTTCCCTAGTCTAACCTTGCCAAACTTAACCCATCCATATATTGATGACCAAACTACATCAACTGACTGATGACTACTACATCAGAACATGGAGAAGCGATAACGTTTCGGTCCGATCTGGACTATTATCAGGTAGTGTGGCCTTATAAGGATAGTTGGATGGTCGTGTGACCATCCGATTATTACCTAACCAAAACTAACATAACCTAAGTCAATCTAACCTGACCTAACCAAACCCTAAAATATTATTCTTTGAAAACTTAACTTCAAAACACAAATTTTCTCCCTGTTAAATTTTATATTTTAAATATATATCCAATATTTTAAGTGATCCATAGCAAACCTCAAAATTAAACTACCTAATCTTGGCTGCAGAAAACTCTTAAAAGTTAAACTCTGGCTGAAATTCCCGGTGCTCTGAATTCCTCAATTTGAACTTTTCAAGTTAAAACTCCAGCATTACTGTATATTTATTTATTTATTTAGTCTGTGGAGGAATTTAGCTATTTTTGGTGCTAATGATTATGTTCTGCAGATGTATGTGTCATATGGATGAATGTGTTATATATAATTATACTGCTATATAATATATATAGCATTATAGAGTTATATAATAATTATAATTATTGTGTTTTGTGATGACATTATGTCAACTAACACAACTCTCGTACCACCTATTAGACTATAGGACTAAATATATATTGGACTAAAGAAGTTCCTATAAATATAGGAACTTCTTTTCAACAGCTCACAAAACGGAGGAAAGTGTCCCGGAAGATATTATTAATAGGAACATTATCCCCACAGACACAAATCAGGAGATACAATTAACAATTTACAACAAAAACAAGAAAACGGCCAATCTACTCATGAAGAACTCTCCAGACACCAAACAGAACGCCTTGAAAGAAACCAACGTCGTCTATGCCTTCTAATGCCCACTTGGGGACTGTCAGCCCCAAAGAAGTCAGTACATAGGCAAGACAACAACGACAGCATCGCACAAAAATATTGCGAATATTAGAGTTTGCCTTAAAAGCTGTATAGAAAACTAAGACCTTACCCAACCTTGGGAGTATAGGAGGACAAGTATGTAAATAGCATTTATTGCTTCTTAATTACAATAAGTACTTAATATATAGCTATATTGATATTACAATTTTATAAAACTAATAAAACAAAATTAAAATTTTTCAATATATTATAAACTAACTCAAGATATTTTAAAATTTTTGTATAAAATCTCATTTCTTTAGTAAAATTAAAAAATAAATTCTTTATATTTAAAATTTGCGTATATAAAAATACACCTACACCAACCACCAAAAATTTTTGTGTGAATTAATAGAAAAGGAGGAGAAGATATTGAAGAGGTAACAGCACAGTTAAGTGTATTTACGTACTATGAAAGCGGTCAGGAATGTACTTATTACATATAGTATTAAAACGTACTGTCGATTCGGAGGAAGGGTTGACTACTGACCATCTCCCTAAGATGTAACCCCACGACAGTTGGCTAACTCCAAGGTACCTGTTTACTGCTAGGTGAATAGAGGCGTTAGGTAATAAGAAAAGAAACGTGTCCAACCATTTTTGTCCCGGCCTGGGATTCGAACCCGGGACTCCGGATTGTCGTCAAGAAGGAACGAGTGTGCTGTATGTGTATTATGTGGTGTCCATGTATGTGGTGTTAGTTGTGTATTTTTGTCCGTGGTAATGAATGTTGTTGTGTGTTTTTTGTGGTGTTATTACCATGTGGTGGTTATGTTGTGTTATTATCATGTGGTGTTATTACCATGTGGTTGTTGTGTTATTGCCATGTGGTTGTTATGTGGTGTTGTGTCTTGGGTTATTTATAAAATCAGGCATTATTTCATGGACATTTTTGGTGTTTTGAAACAGTAATTGAAAATGGCGTTAAATCTTAAATGGAAACCCTGTATAATAAAAACCCTCTTGTTAATTAAATGGCCTGTGTAGTTTCAACACGCAAGATAATATACGTTGAGATCTGTTAAATTAAAATACTTAATTCAGTTTGCTGATTTCTGTTTTGCCTTTAGTTATACCTTAACGGATAAAGTTCGTTTTCTATGACATGTTTACTGGGAGGGGCAGTATATGCGCGAGAGAGTTAAGTACGGAGAAATTCATCTTAGTATTGAAATATTTTACGTTATACAAAAACGCCTTGAAGTGTTGTGCATATAGATATATTTAGCGTATATTTACTAGGCAACGTTAGTTTGATTATATTTAGAATCCATGTAGATAAAAAACAAAGCACGAGTTTGTCTCCGTATCCAGTTGGATTTGCCCCGGGGAGAAGAAGCAGCTGTTGTTGTGAGCCAGTGTGAGCATGGCGCTGGGGTTGTGAGGTGCTTCTGTGACAAAATATCGTTCTCGTTGCATTTCCACCTTCTCCTTGGGTTAGATTTTCACTTGCCAATCGCAAGGCTATGTTAATTAACCAGTGCATCGAAATAATTCCTGTGTAAAAGTGTAGAGTGACGGAAGTTTATACATTTGAAGCCACTATTATTTTACGATAACTTTAAGGGTGAGATCTTGCATGAATCAACGATGACAATACTAACTCATTGGTATTACAGAAAGATCTTTCTTACAAGGCACTTCAGATGTGCTACTGTCCGTAAGTCTGAT